TGATCAACCTAACACCAACTCAGGTAAGGGTGGTAAAATTATTTTATTAGAACTAAACTAAAAAACTTCCTGCTGCTAATTACCATCTTCTAATGCTTACAAATGCTTACAAGTTAGTTTAATTTCATTTGTTATTTAATATACAAGTCCACAAGCAATTTATCAACTCTAATAGCAAGTAAAATTTTCGTCGAAGTAACACTACTCCTACTTAACAGCAGCATCAGCTATTAGTCATTGAAACATCAAATTACTAAAAATAATAACAATTTTTTGGGTTAAGGAACAACTAAAAATGGTGATTAAGTGATAATCATTACTAATGAGGTATTTTTGTCGTTGAGATATGTATCTTGCTGCCATGAGTGAAAAAGCTAATGTGTGCTTCAAACGTAGGTAATGCTAGAGAAACACAGCGTCAGATAGAGGCAAGAAAATCCGTAAAACCATTTCAGGTAAAGATATGGTTCCAAAATCACCGCTATAAGTGCAAACGGGCGTTCAAAGAAAAAGAAGATGGATTAGTGAACCTGCCACAGTCGTCAGTCAATAGCGTCTCACACGAGAACAAAGAAGATGATATTCTTAGTGGTCGAAGTTCACCCACCGATGTGAACAACAGCAAAGGGGATATACAGGCAACGTCTGAGATGCTGCAATCGCTCTCCGAAGAAGGTCGTTTTCCACTGGCGTCAGAACCGAAGGAGCGTTTTAGCGCTTTTGATCTTGCCATCCCGCCTCCAGATACCAAGTTTATCCCTGGTTCTGCGCCTCCCTATTCAGGGTACGGTGGGCAGACGATGTTTCTCTCTAGTCCAAGAGATCCTCCGAGAGAGTGCGAAAACGGTTGTTCTGATATATGCAGATCATACTTCAACCACTGCATCTCGGACTGCGATTCTTCAAAACGGCTTGCAACGAGCATTTTCGGTGGCACTACGAATCCTGAGGCTCTCACCTCCACCACTGATTATCCGTCGCATTCTACGAATCCAAAACCCGCCTTTGAGTGCTACCAACGTACAACTGCCGAAGAGGCGGCGGTCCCATCGAAGCATGCCTTTGGAGTAGAGATGAGAGACAACGAGTATGCAGTGAGAAATATGGATTTCTATTGAAGTAAACAATCATTGGCTAAATCGGAAGATATCCGAATGGAACAAAGGCTACTTGAAAGTGTGGAAAACTCAGTAAAATACCCTCCCTTATTTAAGATCCTCCAGCGAATACCCAAATGAAATAAAGCGATTCCACCACACATCCAGTCCTCCAAACTCCAAATGACTATTTTCGATAGCACAATTTGTATGCTGCTTAGGCATCGTCGTTCAATGCAAGCGCTGCTGATGCAGTAATGTTAGAATGCAACGGACACGGATAGATAAAGAGCATTAAAAAATAAGATTACATTTTGTAAAAGAAGATTGAAACAAAATAAGCTGATGTGCCGTTTATCTTTGCCTTTTGCCTTCTTCTTTCACTTTACTGCAATGGAGCCAATCCAAAACTCTAATCGAGAGATGTAAAAGTGTTGGCCACCTTGCATAAATGTTTAGCGTTAAATTAAAACAAGAAATGTTCCACCTTTATGAGAAAGTGAAACATCATTGGTTGGTCCCCACCCTTACATTAAGCAATTATGTAAGCTTTCAACTAGTCATAGCAATTATTTTATACTCGTATTGAGCGTCGATGCTACACGAATAAATGTCACCATGCAGATTTTAAAATTTATGATTAATAAACAAGTACTTGGTCTACTGAAAGCGCCGTAGACTTAAGGGTAAGTTACATATACCGCAAAATAGATATCTTAAAAAACAACCAGCGAATTCTCCTTGTGTGGTAACACTGCTCATTCCATGAATTTTCATTGAGTAATGGAACAATGAAGATGGATTGAAGCGGAGCCATCAAAGTACTTCTGTAAAGCATGAAAAGTACTTTGGGTTCAGTGACCACTAACCTTGGTTCTAGAGCCAAGCGGCACTTCGGTCTGATGGCAAG